CGCAACACCGAGGGTTGCGATCCCGTTACCGATCAGTAAAAAAGACAAAAAGGAAAAAAAACATTTTTCTATGTTTTTATAAGTTTAGATTTAAAAAAAAAATTTACAAAAATAACATGTGTTTGAATTTAGTTATTTTTAAGAATGTGTCCTAGGGAAGGGTAGAGGGGAGCTTGATAAAGTTTTAAGGCTAGACAACAAAATAAGATATAGCTTATCAGGCTGGAGAGGTAATTTTTCTTTTCACTTTTGTATGGTGTGATGGTTTTCCTAGGATGAACACTTAATGGATTTTCTTTTAGGAAGAGTTTCTCTTTAAATGGACCACCCAACGAACGGTTACATTTGTGTGGAAAGAAAATCCTCTATTTCCCACTTGGTATTGGGCCAAGTGAGAGACAGGAGCCGCATTCAGTCACTTGTATTGGCTGCAAAGGTCTTGAATAGCCTGGGTTGTTTCCAGGCATTCTTTTTGGCTAATTTTATTGTCTTGCAAGTGAGTGTGCCTCTTCAGGGCTAATTCTTCTGTGTCTTTCTCTTGAGCACTAAGCACACAGTGTTTTTGTTTGTTTTTGTTTTTTAAGTAGTTTGGTTATATTTCTTTTAAAGAACTTTTTATTATGTGATTTAATATATAAGGTCCTGCTATTGAGCATTATTTGCTTGACATCGACCTTAAAGCATTTGTTTCAGAAATAATTATGTCAGGTGACAATGATTGACATACTTCTTAATTGTGGCTGCCCTACGTACAGGTGTTTGGATAATGTTTGGAGTCCATGAATTGCTGTTTTGGGGGGTAGGAGAGAACAACAGCGGAGAGTGAGTTTATTTACACAAAATGTATAATCACATTGCAACTAGAAAGATGTATCAGAAAAGGATCTTGGAAGCAACTGTTGGTTATAAAGAATGATGTGGGTATTTTAGGTGTATTTCAAGGCTATTGAAAAGGACCTTATGTTGTAGGAAAAGTGGTTTATTCCTCTTTTTGTTTTGGGAGGCTGCCCATTACAGTGATCCAAACCCTTGACTTTGGTGTTACACCACGCTCTAACTGACTGAGCTAACCAGCCAGCCTGGAAGAGTGGTTATTCCTTAATTTTTTTCTTGTTGATTAAGTTTCTCTGGGAGTGGAGCCTCTCAAACACTAAAGAGAACAGATGAATAGATTTATGATTGATTGCTTGAAGATCTCTTCTTGCTGCAAAGATTTTTTCCAGCATTTGAAAATATAGTCTGCCATTTATGATTTGACATGTTGTAGATGCTTAGTCAATTTTTGTTGAATATTGAATGAATATATTCTAAAATTGCTATTGGTATTGCTAATGCTTTATTATGGCAAGGAACTGGAGTACTCCTTTGTATCTGTGCATCCATGTCACACCAGATATACTGAAGGACTTGAAAGGGTGATATTTAGTGAAATACTTGTGGCCATATTCTTTCTTTTCTTTTTCTTTGTCTGTTTCTTTTCTTCCTTTCTTTTTTAAAATATGTCTTGTTTGGAAATATCACTTATTACAAAGGAGAATGATGTGTTGATTATGCAAAAGTATAGATGTTACATTATAAGTCATATGTTAATCCAGTTAAAAAATTGGTTATTAAGGGGCCGGCCTGTGGCTCACTCGGGAGAGTGCGGTGCTGATAACACCAAGGCCACGGGTTCGGATCCCATATAGGATGGCCGGTTGCTCACTGGGTGAGCGTGGTGCTGACAACACCAAGTCAAGGGTTAAGATCCCCTTACCGGTCATCTTTTGAAAAAAAAAAAAAATTGGTTATTAAAAATGTGTTTTTCGGGGCAGGCCTGTGGCTCACTCGGGAGAATGTGGTGCTGATAACACCAAGGCCACAGGTTTGGATCCCATATAGGGATGGCCGGTTAGCTCACTGGGTGAGCATGGTTCTTACACCACCAAGTCAAGGGTTAAGATCCCCTTACCGGTCATCTTTTAAAAAATAAAAAATAAACAAAATAAAATAAAAATGTGTTTTTCCATAATTGCTTAAGTTGTTATTTCCACTACAAAGGTTTAACAGTCTGTTAGTTGAAAGTAAGACTAAGCAGATAGTTCCATAAACTGTTTCTAGAAGGATCTGCCTTCTTGTGCATTAAACAAATTGCTCAGACTGTGTGCTCAATATAGTCTAGTCTTGGTAGATTCACTGCTGAGTGAGGAATATGCATTTTGTGCCTGACCACTTTTTAAGCACATTATGTATAATTTTTAAAAATGCTTTCGTAGAGTTCATGTGCCCATATTCCCCTTCTGTATAATGCATAAAAATTACTTGACACTTGTAAAATGGTAGTTGCCATCCAAGGTGAGACAATATTTTTATGAGAAGGTTTTTGTGTCACCAAGCCAATGTTAGGACCCAGGGGGACTTGGAATTAAGGAATCTTTTAAAGGATGTAACTGTAAGTCCATCATTTCACCTCTCTTAGTGTTATAGTGTTCGTATATACTCCATATTTAAGACTTGAGAATAAGAAGAGCATGTTTTCCTAAGCTGGTGTCTAAAGCCCTTCAAATAGAAAAAAACCCAGGAGATTAAGGCCCTCACTGTGTGGGAGGCAGGGCGGCAGGGAAGTGACAGCACACCCCTGGCCTCACAGTCCAAGGTGTTTCCAGCAGTAGAGCTTGAAGAGTCTTTGTTTAAAACTTTTCATCCCAATTTTACTATGTATAAAATAATATTCTTCTCTAAGAATACTCTAACAAAGCATTTTGATATCTCAGTTCCTAATTTGCCTGGTGGAAAACAATCTTTAAGAACAGGTTTAAAGGAAAAGACTTAAGTTTGAATTTAAGGATTTAATCTTCAGGAGAGTACTCTTGAGCAACAGGTTCAAAATTTATACAGAAGCAGTATTTCCAAAATTTCGTGGTTCCTCTGAAGGCTGCTATGACCCATATAAATATCAGTAGTGAGGGCCGGCCCGCGGCTCACTCAGGAGAGTGCGGTCTTGAAAACACCAAGGCCACGGGTTCGGATTCTATATAGGGATGGCCGGTTAGCTCACTTGGAAGAGTGTGGTGCTGACAACACCAAGTCAAGGGTTAAGATCCCCTTACCGGTCATCTTTTTAGGGGGGG